ATTATTATTATTATTATTGCTGTTGATGTATTACATTTTCATTATAACATTTGAAATCATATATTTGTAGGTTAATTGAACATTGGTTCCGTTGATTTACATAGTGACTTAGGTTTAAAGCCTTAATTATGTATTCAGTAATATTTTTGAAAGGAATTTAAAGCCTTAATTCGGGATTCGTTCTGAACAAAATTGCCTCTCATGGAAGATACATGTGGTTTATTCAATATATATATATGAGGATTGCATTTTTGTAGCTGCTGTACGTGCAACAATCAAATACTTGCCATATATATACTTGAAAGTATTAAATGCAGAGAATTATAATCATACAAATGATGAAAGCATTAAATGGGGTGAATCATAACCATACACTTGTCGTTGCTTTACGTAAAGCGGCTGCAAAAAATGATTTTATATATATAATGACTTAGGTTTGTCGTAGACTTGTTTAATTAATTTATTATAATATAAAGGTCTTCCAGACCACAATAGAACAAGAATTATATCAAGTTGCTCTTATTTGAAAAACAGATACGCGTGCGGATGAGAGAATGATATGATATTTGTTTTAATATAGGGATGCATGAATTCAGCCCTATATTCGGTTCTACCGACGAACTTAGAATATTGAGCCTCATAAGTTGCTCTTATGTAAAAGGCATTTGTTTTAATATAGGATGCATGAATTCAGCCCTATATTGGGTTCTAATGACGAACTTAGAATATTGAGCCTAACGACAGGTTCAAAATAAATAAATATTATTAAAACTTATAAACTATATTAAGCCCTATATTAATTGACTTCGTATAGTTTGTAAGTTAATAAAAAAAAAATTGTCGGAGAATTTTCTATTTCTCATCTCACTTAAGTAGACATAGAGCGTAGAATCTCATTTGTCCTAAAGATGTGGGTCTGAGATTTCATGTCTCATGAAATTTGATTATCTTTCTTTTCGTAACACACCCCTCCTTTTTCCTCAGAAAAAAAAAAACAAAAAATTAACTGTTATCAATATTGAGCTAGCGTACGCACTTCAATTTTTTCTTACAAATAAACTAACGTTTTTTCAAGCAATAATATTTTGTTATCAACTTGATAAAAAAAAAAATCTTAGAACATTACTCCTAAGAATATACATTCATATTAAATGTATAAGATATGCATGATATAAGTTAAAATTTAATTCTTTCAAAAAAATTCTAATGAAAATATTTATATCATTTGAATCAACATTAATTTCGTTGTATCTTAAGTCCATATATTCAACCCTTATTCATGCGAATTTTTTTAAGAAAGAAAAACGATGATGGTTATTAACAGTGAAATTTGGATATTCTGCTAAGATTTGGACGGAATTATCACTTCCTTCTTGCATTCCTTATTGTTTTGAAAAAAAAAAAAAGGCATTAAAAAAAGGACAGTGAATGTATTTTATAAATAAAAAATCTGAAGAAGAGTATGGAACCTTGGCATAGTTGGGGAAGGCCTGCTAAGGTGGAGACAACATCAATCTATAGAGGTTTAAACATTGGCATAGCTGGGGTGGGAAGAGTGGTGTTGAAGTGGAACTTGTTCTGAATAAGCATGTGATGGATCATTTTCATACTTTTTTTTATGATGGGCTATGCTTTGACTGAGGGAGTTTTAATTGGATGATTCAGCAATTTATTACGACAGAGAAAGTGGAGTATGTTAAATTTTCATTTTCATTTATTTATTTATTTTTTATTTACCGTTCATTAACTCTATGAACTAGTTTGTTATTTTGGATCGCATTATTGATTATTTTTCCTTGTAATCTTTTTTAGGTATAATATAACAAAGTGTCCGACACTAAGTACTACTGTACTAGTACTCGTTTTAATTAATTTATTTATCCAATCAGATGAAAAATGGAGTATATGCACCAAATCTATTTTTACATAACCAAACCAAGGTTCAAAGAATCGAATTCACTTTTTACAAAACAATTTGGTTCAAAAATCGGTTTATTATTGATTTGGTTCGGAATCCAGTTCATAACTAATTCGGTTCGGAATCCAGTTCATAACTGATTTCTGAACTAATCTCTATTTCTGAGTTCAGAACTGGTTTTTGAATTGATGAATCATAAAGCATAGAAAACGTAGACAGTGCTGCCCAGTGAAATTCTGAGGTATCAAATGCTGCCCACTTAGTATCCACGTACATACATTCATTCCAAAGCTTGAACTGGTTTTTGGGTATTTTGCACACCCTGGCTAGTGCATAATGGTGTTCAAAGGAGGACATTAACAACAATCAAGTAAAGTTCCACTTAAACAACTTGAATTAATTCCCAGGAGCTATTCTGCTAGTCTTTGTTTGTTTAGGCACATATGCATATTGTCTGAAGTCCATAGCCATTGTTGGCCTATGATAAAGCAGGTATATGATCACAAATCATAATGTTGATATAAAAGTCCAAGGGACAATGAATTCCAGCATTATGTTTGAAATACATTACCTATTATTACAAGTGTTTCGAACATCTTTCAGAGGAGCACGGAGGCCACTTGCACGAGAACCAGAAGAGCATCTAAAGGATGATATCATAGAGACAAATCTTTCCATTGACTTCTCAGCTATTTCTGAATAATGGCCTAGATGGGAAATTTTTGTCCCAAATTTTTCTTCTTCAACATTATTCTCTGTAAATGGTCTATCAACATTTTGATCACTGTAACCTCAATTCAAGAAAATCAGAATTTAGAGAAACTTACACAGAGATACTTCCCTTCACGATTCTTTCAAAAGCAAGCACAAGTATATGGTAAAAAAAATTTTATACAACATAAGAATAATTTTATCTCCAATAGACCCATCGAAAATCGTAACACTCTTTTTTTTTAAAAAAAAAAAAATAGCGAGCCCCACCACATGTGTGTCTACAACATGAGAGATATTCTCTTATGCAATATGAGATTAGATGAACCCTATGTATATTAACTACTATATTTGACTTATAATTTCCAACATGTAGCATTGTATCATCCATTTTCTTTAACTCGAACAATTCTCTCAGCCTGTACTTCATTCTCTTAAAACACAAGTAGTCAATATTTAATTATTAATTTTGTTCCTTAAAAAAAAAAACTACAATTTAGAACCAATGAGTATTAAATTCTTAGTTAAAGTCAAATTGCCATGAAAATGAAACTAAAAGTGACATTTATTAATGAAAAACTAGTCATTCATTTCTTGTTTCAAAAGAACCAAAATGGGCAATGTAGTAGGAGTGTTCGCGGTCTGGATTGGATCGGTTTTGGAAGCAAAATTCATCCAATCAAATTCCTTCGGTTTGATCATGTAGTCATCGATTCGGTTTGGATTTTTTTTCAAATCCGATCCGATCCAATCCAATTTTTTTCGGTTTGAATTGGATCGATTTTCGGTTTTTTTAAAATCCTTAAATTTGTTTCATGATTATTGTGCAAATAACATCTTTTGTATATATTGACTTTGTAATTTTATTTTTTTTAAATACAAAATCATCATTAAACGATAATATAGTTTTTTCTTTATTGGGCAATGAGATATGAAACTCTACACAAATTAAATTTTGTTAATGAGATATGACTAGGCTTTTTTTTGGGTTTAGATAATGGTTAATGATCTTTGGTTTAGAAATTTTTGGGCTATGATTGGAAAAAAAACCCAAATAGGTAGAGAGAAATTAATATATTGGATCAGTTTGGATTGAATCAGTTTTTATTAACCCATCCGAAAACCGATCCAATCCAATTAAATTTTGCGGTTTTTTTTTTTGTTTTTGATTTTTCGATTTTCGGTTTATTCAGTTATCGATTTTTCGGTTCGGTTATTGCGGTTTGGATCGGTTGATGAACACCCCTAGCACTTTTTTAGGAACACAAAAACATATTCAACAGCACATGATACGTAACTAAACTACAGATACACACACTTTCAAGGGCCTATAATGCCCAAAAGAATGTTGTGTTTTCTTTAAAATCTAAACTCAATCAGAATTTACACTTACCAAATTGAGTCTTATGAGTTGGCCAAACAGAATTTGTGAGAAATTGGGTCTGAAAGATGGATCTTGGTGCCAGCACCAGTGAAGCAATTCCACTAACATTGGATGGGTATGCTTTGGAATCTTAGGCATTAAACCCAGCGATTCATATCCCAAATCTTAATCAATTTCAAAATATTTTTTGTGGCTCGATAGCTTAGATATTATAGAGCTTTCAAGTTAGTAATATTTCTTATCTTGCAAATCTTCTTCCAGCGAATTCTCTTTAATGATAACCAACACACTTCATTCAAAACACTAGCTTCATTCCACTGACACTGGAAATTTTGTAGCGACAGACAATTCCTAATAATAAAAGACAATGTCTTATTTCTATATATGACAGAGGTATCTTCTATCTTCTTATCCCACAATTCCGTTAACAGACAATGCAAGTTTACGTGTTCGACACCACGAATCCACGGACACGAAGAAGTGAGAAGTGCATATATAATTACGAATTGTAAATCGCTAAATCAAAAACCCCCTAAATTTAATAATTAATACCTAGATCCCTAAATCAGTTTAAGAATTGCACAACGAAAACAAACGAAAACCTGAATGGAAAATAAACAACTCGTCACAACCAACGACTTCAAATGGCACAATGACGACGAAGGGAGTGGAGTGCAAGAGTAACCAATGCACACTCGCAACCTAAATGATACATGGGTAGAATAGCAACCTCAACGGTGAATTTCAAACCAGAAACATTGCTCCACCATGTTTCAGTCTGAGATTCAATATCGACACAGAGACAATGGCTAGTGAGCGAACAATTTGGGATTGGCTTTGTGAGTGATAACACTGTATGTAAAAGAACGGTTCATAATAAGTTCATAACTGAATTATTTTAAACAATTAAAAACTTATCTGGTTTATGAACGTTTGAAAAATCTTTTTTTTTTTCTCATCACGGGTCGGTTCTCAATATGATTCAAGTTTTTTCAAGGTATTTTGCATACCCCTAAACTAGGTATCGATTTGGAGGATTTTTTTTTTTAACTTCTCTTTTATTTATGGGTTTAAAGTGTTTTTTTTCTTTTAAAGATACGAAATTATATTATTTTAAGAGAGAAAATGACACAAGTAATAAAAATTATGGAGAGAGGAAGTGTATATTTTTTAATTTAAATTTTAAATAAAAATTATTAGTTTGTATCTTTCTCTCACTTAAACTTAAAATGACACAATTTTATATACTTTAAAAAGACAAATATTTTTCCATTTATTTATAATGAGAAACATCATCAAAAAATTTTAATAAAAGTTCTTATCATTAAAAGGGTTCATCTATAATAAAGTAAAATAAGTTAAACATGTAAAGAATGATTTTTTTAAAGGTATATTATTACTTTTTGAAGTTTTCATATATATATTTACGTTTTATTTATATTTTTTTAATTTATATTTTTCCTTTTATGAAAAAAGTATATGTCTTTTTAAAAGATACGAATTTGCTTACCAAAAAAAAAATAAAAAAAATACAAATTTAGATCATTTTAAGAGAGAAATAAACACAAAAAAGTGTGAATCCCATTGGAAAAATAAAACTGTGAATCTCACTTCTTTATATCTATTTTTTTTTCTTAAAAGGATCCAAGTTTGTGTCTTTTATAAGGACACACATTTTTTCTTTATATATTTAAGTTTCATTTTTAATTTTATTCTAAATTTATATTTATAATTTTATTACCCTTTATTCTAAAAATTTACTCTACTAACATTATTTCATCTCCCCCGTTAAAATTCTAACAGAATCAAATCAGACGTGAAGGCATAAGCTTGAAAATTGTGATTTAATGTCAAAGATAAATTTATGACCAGATCACGTTGAACCCGTTAAAATTTGTCAAAATTAATCAATTAATCTCAATAAATGTTTCATAAGTAATTTATGAATCTAACCGCTCTCAATTAATGCTAGTAGTAAATTTATGCATATTCTAATTCGTAAATTCTCTACTAACATTAATTAGGAGCAGTTAGTTTCCATTATGCACTTTTTTCTTCACTGATTATATTGTTTTCTATAGGATTTAGTGAGTTTTTTTTTTTGGTATAAAGTGAGTTTTCTTTTAAAAGACACAAGTTATATCATTTTGGCAGTTTTTAACTATACATTTCGGGGAATGTATAATTATAATATTAAAAAGTCATATTTTTTTTACTTTTCATGTTAGGAGACATCTTTTGAGAGACAAAAAAATAAATTTTAATATTATAACTATGCATATTCGAAAATATATTTCCTTTTTCTTTAACCTTGTTGGTGCAACGTGAAATCGTGAGGATTTGTAAAAAATTATTTGTACGACATGGAATAAGCTCATCCTCAGTATCAATCTCCATCAAGCAAGAAAGAAAACGGGAAGGAAAATAGCTTAACACCAAAATCACGGAGGTATCCATGACTAGCCAATTCTGTGAAATATTATGACTAGCCAATTCTGTGAAATATTATGACTAGCCAATTCTAAATGTACTATATATAATACTTTTATGACTTATGTGCCGTCAACTTTGAAGAGTTTCCACAATAGACTAGATCTTGTGTGAACCACAAACTAACAAGTCGTTATTATCGAAGAATTCTTAATTTTCTCTTTGGGATTTAAAATTAATATAATTTTAATTTTTCAATTCATATACGGGACCTTCAAATTGGACATCATTAGGATCTTTAATTTGCCTCCCATTGTGATAGATAACTAGAGGATAAGTGCCTGAACTTGAGCTCATCTTTCAACATAAATTTGATCTAGAGTTTGGCTTGAATTTGGATTTTGTTAAAAAAAATTGAATTTGTAAGTATATTGCCATTGATTTCACACGATACAAGCTTTGATTATAGCTTGGAATAGAGATGAAAGACGTTGGAAATTTTGGGTAGTAAACATGTGAGTGACAAATGAGGCAGAAACCCACTCATTTGAGGGTTTTTTGCCGATGTATACTCGAGTATCCGGGGTTGATACTCGAGTATTCAGTGTGATACTCGAGTAGGAGAGTTCATACTCTGATAAATAATTCAAGAAATGATGAACATCTTCAAGCAGGAACTTGAGTATATTGTTTTGTACTCTGGTATAATTTTTTGATTAACGATCAAATAGGAGGCAGATTGATGTTATGTTTAAGAAAAATGTCAAATATTTTAAATAGTTTATAAATGAAGATGAGGTGGTAATTTTTAATTATTTAAAAGATAAATGGGACAAATAGCCATTGTTTAATAGTCACACAATTGCCAGCATAGTTCTCAGGTATTTGAGGCTCTAACCGAGCCCTGCAATCCATAGTGAATATAAAAGCAAATTTCTGTTTATCCCTTTCGGCTTCTTGAATTGCTTTAGCAATACAGACAGAAACATAAGCACAAGTAAGAACAAAAGTTGACAAAGTAGTTGGCTTTGAAGAAGCCATTGATTGTTCTCCTTCCACCATATGCCACTTGGATAACACCCTTTTCTTTATATTCTCCAAATCTCCACGTGTAAGCTCGAACGTGCCTCGAACTGAATTCTCCACAAGTGGTGGAAACACATTTGACATAATCTTTAAGCTTCGTTCGTTGCTGTTATTATTAGTAGGGTCCAATACAGATGAGATTTCTTTCCAATTGGTTATGAACAAAGAGTCAAGGCCATTTGGATCTTTGATGACTTCCCTGTCAAAGAAGGGCTCTAACCCTTGCACCAAAGATGGTGATTCTTCACCGGATTTACATAGAGAAGCCCAGGCCTTGATGAACATAGTTGAAGATTTTCCATCAAGAACAGCATGGTGGGTGCTGATTCCGATGCAAAATCCGCTGTTTGGAAACAGAGTTATCTGCAGGGAGATAGCAGATGCAAGAGATTCTGAGGATTCCAAGTTGGGTACCAAAGAACGAGATTCTATGGCTTCACGGGGTGAATTATCCAATATATGATCGAAGTCTGCATCACACTCTGCCAGGACCAAGGAAACACCATCACCAGGGTTGTATTGGATTATGGGTTTTTGTGAATCAGAAGGCCAAACGATGTTACCAGCTAAAGGGAGGAAGTGTTGGAGGATAAGAGAGAGTGAGGTTTTTAGTTTTGGAACCACTTTCAAAGAAAAAAGATGGGTTTATGAGGAAGAGGAAGGGAGTAGAAGAAGATGCGCTCAACTGGATGGAACCTGAGCCAAAAGAGATCAAAGAAGGTGAGAGGGAGAGAGAACTGGGTTGAAGATGGAGGAGCAACAAGACAGTGCTCATGGATTTTGATGGAGATGTTTGGAGAAGCCATGTGAAAGAAACAGAGGAAATGCTTGCTTGCTTGCTTATCCGTTTGAACTGCTACGGCGGTAGCTAAATACTTTGATATCTGAGTTAATTTCGTTGCATTAATTTATTATATGATTGGCATAAACTTGTCAAGGATGTAGTTTTGTTCCTCACTCAACTCATATCGAACGTTAAGATTATTCAATGAAAAGACCAATAAAGTTCTGGAGGTATCAGTTGCACAGGCAAAGATTGACACGACTTTTAGTTTTGGTGGTCATTTTATTTTTTATTTTGGATACATTGTATTTATTTTGAAAACTAAGGTGAACGTTCTCAAAATCTTAAAGATTAAAAGTTTTTTAATATTTTTTTTTTATAAATAATAGTGTGAATAAATAATACACGACCATATCATATTTTTTTTAATCTAAGAAGATTCATTTCCATTCAGTCCTATATTGGGTTCTATCAACCAACTTAGAATATTGAGCCTAATATCAGGTTCAAAATAAATATAATATTATTATGAGTAAAGGATTTCTTCTGTCACCGAAAATAAAATTATCTTCAGTGAGCTTAAAACGACGTCGTTTTGGGACAGAAATCAAGGTGTTTTTGTAATTATAATATATTGTAGGGTTATATTAGTCTTTATCATTATAATTTTTTAATCTTATAACCTTAAACAACGTCGTTTTGAGCTCGAGATAACTTTATCTCTGGTGACTAGAGAAATACTTTTCCCTATTATTATAGAAGGGGAGATTTTCATGTTTCTTAAAAAGGAAAAGATATTATCGGTTTGCTTGATTGTGTTCTAATTTTTTTTCTTAATTTTTTTTTGTAGAATAATTATAAAAATATGTATTTTTTATATATATTTTTAAAAAAATTAAAAATTAAAATATAAAACAAAAATATCTCAGACATTTTCTTTAAATTTGATTTAAAAAAAATAGTTACAAATTTTAAAACTCTTTTTACAAAATAGACTTTATCAAACAACTTTTTTGTTCTGAAAATCAAAAAATTATTTTTAGAAATAGTATCCAAACATGTCCTCTATTTTTTTCTTTGGTATTACAACATGTCCTCTATTTCTCATTTCACATAATTTCGAACAAGTTTGAATAGAGCATAGGATCATGTGGGTCCGTTTGAGATTTCATGGCTCATGAATAGGGTTGGCAAAACAGATTAACCCGGTCCGGCCCGACCCAACCCACATTAAACCCGAAAAAAATGAGTCGGGTTAGAGTTGGCTCGAAAAAAATAAAAAGAGTCAGAAAACCCGACCCGAGTCGGGTCGGGTTGACTCAAAAATATGGCTCGTGGGTTGGCTTGAAAAAATAGCTCGTGAGTTGGCTCGAAAATTAGTTCGCGGGTTGGCTCATTTTTAGTGGCAGGGATGTGAGAAGATTAGAGACTTAGGTTTAGAGAAAGAAGACAAAATAATGACAACATGTGTGGATTTTGTCCATTTTTTATATTTTTTAAAAAAACTCAACCCGCGAGCTGACTCGTTTAACCCGCGGGTTGGCTCATTTTTTCACGAGCTCGCTCAGGTCGGGTCGGGTTGGCAGCTCATTTTTATCAACCCAACCTGGCTCGATTTTGACGGATTACAAGCTAATCCGACGGTTGGCTCATTTTTGTCAACCTTACTCATGAAATGAGATTTTCTTTCTTTTTGT